CAATGAAGCCCTGTATTATTTCTTAATGTCTAAAAAATGAGGGACAGTAATCATATAACGGGCAGTCTATTAACTCAGCATACTATTGTTTGGCTATTCGTCCAGTGAATCAGAATGAGTCCCCTCCTTCTATAGCAGCTCTCGGTAGGTCTAATCTAATTATCCGCGCTCTGGTCCAGAGGGGGAATAAATGAAAAAAAAAACGGCCGCTACACTGGCTTAGCCGGCTGGTCCTAAATCCGAATACGACGCACGCCTGAGACAGAGAGGGAGAGAGTCGGATGAAAGCCTGAGAGACGACTGTGGTGAAAAAGAGACATCAATATTCAAAGAGAGGGAAACATGTCAACAAAGCAGGTGTTCAGGGTCACAGCAGGATAGTCGGAATCAGAAGGAAGAGCAGAAAAGAGAGGCTGCTTATATTTATTGATGGTTGCTAGGAATGAATATTCACAGGCTATTAGGTGACTAACAGGAGAAGAAGGCAATGAAGATATAAACACTTCATTTGGGCACCTGCAGCAACGGGAGCTGACAGTCTAGGAATCTCAATGCAAGCATCACCGATGGCTGATTTAGTGAGATTTAGAAGGATAATCACTTTGGGGAGGAATGAATATAATCCTGCATTTGGTGTGCTGGTTCAATGATAGCTGTGGCAATATCTATCGACTTCAAATGTGTTCATCGATCAACCCTGTTGGGCGATGAAAAGCCACCGAAAGTACATGTGCGAACAGACGAAGAGGAACAACGCTGCCTTAGTAGCAAAAAGGCCATACTGCCACTACTAATTTCGTTAGTGGGGAACTCGTTATTTGCTTGGATTTTCTCTTCACCAATCATACCAAACCTGCTACTGACAATCTGGCAGTACTGCATGTGCTAGGTGGTTGGAGACGAGAGTTAATGAAAAGTCAGCCACAACTTCATTGGCTTTACTTGTTGCCCAAGCATTGCTTCTTGCTGTTTTCATATTCAGCACCGACTCTCTTCGTGACTTATACGGAAAAACAACATCATCTGTTTCTGGGGCTAATAATAGACTCTGACGAATGGCATCCATCTGTGATTTCAGTCCTGTAGACACTTTTAATAAAGAATATTTGCACATGATACCAATCAACACACTGCCGATCGTGTATTCTTACAGCAGACATTAATAAACGTCAGCCACTCATATAAGCAGCGGCATGAGTAAAATTAAGAAAATGAAGGGTGCAAAATTATTGAAAGGCTTTTTCCCATGTGTCTTTTTAACATAGTATATCTAAACATACTACTTTTACTGAGCTATAGCACAAACCACTACAGGATGTGCTTTAACTCTGTAATGCTCAACGCTTGCAAAATGTATCTTTCTATTTATATACAGTATAAAAACTTCAGTAAGGGTTCTTAGCTGTCGCTGTGAAAGCATCGTGCCAACAAAAAGGGAATCGGTTTAGAGGAGGTGGACATAAAAAGTTATCAGAGGGTTTCCAAGTGTCAAGAATTGGAGTGAGAAGTATCACCAAGAAACTCAAAGAGAGCCACGCCGTACAGAACGAGCCTGGCAGAGGTAGGGAGCAGAAGATTTCAAAGACTCTTTGAGAGAAGTGTCAAATAATCCCAGAACACCTGCCAAGACATGAGTGAATGCTGGGAATTGTAGTCGCAAAGAAGACAATCGTCCAGGAATGGACTGCGAGAAAAAGTCCACTTCTGCAGAAGAGAAACCTTCAACTCAGACTCAACTATGCTAAGGATGACCTGGAGGAAGATACTGCATACTGGAAAAACATGCTTTGGTCAGATGAGACAAAAATAAAGCCATTTGATCATAGAGGCACTGCTTGTGTTTGGAGGAAGAAGGGAGAGGCGACCGACCCCAAGAACACCGTCCTCACAGTCAAACACGATGGTGGGAGTCTTATGTTCACAGTAGAAGGAATCATAAAGGAAGGATATGTGAAGATTTTGAAAGAAAACAGCAACACACGTCACTGAGGAGTGTCCCAGTCCTGGTGAAGTCTACAGTGAATGTCATTGACTGTGGGGTGAACTGACGACCAGGGTCTGTGCAGGAAGTGCATCACATTTGGAGGAGCTCGAGAGATTCACAAAAGAAGAGTAGCCTGGGACTGCTCAGGAGGACATATACAATTGAGTATCAGCATCATGGGGGCTAATAATTTCAATCCAAAGCAAGCCTTGGTTTTTGGAAAAGCTGTGCTAAAATGTTTCATAGGGGGACTTAGAATTGCATCCTCATCTAAAGATATTGACATTGCTTAAATCAGGCTTGGCCAACTCCAGGCCTCGAGGGCCGGTGTCCTGCAGGTTTTAGAT